AGGGATGGGGATGGAGTAAATGGATTCAACTGGTTTGTTTCAGGGCTGACATCTGGTGAAATGATTCAAGATGAGCCCAACAACTGTGGGACGTGATACTTCCTGATGACCTGAGAGAACTGGGATGCTCTGAAGAAAAATACAGTAGATGGTCAAGTTTCCATAGACTGTCAGTCAAACAGTTCTCCCCCAAGAGTTCCACATCCCCAGCTGTACCAAAGACTGAAACTGTTGGTAAACTTTTGCATATTGTATTTGTCTGCTTCAGAAACCGCTGCTGAACTGAGCTCTCTGGACATTCTTTGAAGAAACACGAAACTGGTCAAAGCTGGAGAACGCTTGGGGTGGGAGGGAAGGGGGGGTATTTTGTGGAGTTCTCAGCAACAAAAAAAGGAGCTTGAGATACACCATGTCACTAAAAGCACTTCCCATCTTCCAGCCTGTGTCCCAACAAGCGTGTATCTACGCTATCTGTTGACACATGTTCATGTTACTCCTTGATCCAGCTGCTTTTTCTCATTTGTTGTGTTCTGTATCTGCCCTTTGTAGTGTCTCTGTCTGCCTGGAAGGTTAACGAGGAGAACCAGGGTTGGCTCAAGCTCATATCTTGTGTCTTTTCTCCCAAAATTTCAGTGCAAGCCCTTTTCTCTCTCATCTCCTGCCCCCGCTCTCATCTTCCCCAGCCCTTCTCTGGGTGTTGTCAGCACTGTGGAAATGCTGCCAAAGGGCTGAGTGGGTATTTTTCTCTGGAGAATTCGAGCCTGTGTCTGAGCAGCAGTGGCTCCCTTGGGCCTCCCTTTGCCATAATAAGCAATTCTGAAGGATTCTTAATTGTCCTACAGTTGCACTGTCTTCTGCATCTCTTTAGACAATGACTTTATGGTGCAGTGTTCCCGCTGGGTTGTCCTTCCATCTGTCAAGCTTCCAAAACAAATAGACGTCATGGGATGGGTTTTGCTGGTTTTCTGTCTGTGGTGAGGCTTGTGGATCTTAGAGAGTGGTATTCTCTAATTGTTTTAATATCTAATTAAGGTGTGTAAGTACCAAACTCTGTCCATTACACCACTGGCTGCAGATCTGGTTGCAAAGAGCAAACCGTCAATACTGTGTACGGAGCAGACAGAGGAGGGAGTTGCTGGAGTACAGGCTTTAGAAACACAAATTAGCACTTTACTCTTCAGCTTTTGTGTGTCTTCCTTTCAAATGAAGACAATCCTTGGCTGTGTCTGTCTTTCCCTTGTAGAAAACTCTGCATGAGCTTGGATCATTTGGCATTTTTCTGATGTCGGATTAAATTAAGAGCCTGTCCTGGGGGAGATGCTGCCTCCTGCTCCCCATCTGCAAAGAGCTGCTTGCTTGGAGAGCTGAAGTTTGCTCTTGGAGCAGAAGGGGGGATGCATGTGGCATCTCAGTCACCCATGTGACAAATTCTTGCTGCTGCAAAAGCTATTTGTATCCCTTATTTAGCCCAAGGTGGGTGTCCTAAAGGTGAACAAAATGGCAAAGAGTTGGAAAAAACTC